ATAAGAGCCCGGTCACCAACTTTGAGCTGTCGGGTTTTGGAGGTTCGGTCATGATACTTCTTTTGCGAGTGTTGAGCTCGGGAGAGATTCTCTTGAGCCAGCTTTAAGGTGCCTTCAAGACGTTCTCTCAGATCAAGCACGTATCCGTAAGTAGTCTTGATATCTTCCTCTAGGTCTTCCCCTGTCCAGAGTTCCTTCAATATATCCAGGGGTCCTCGGACATGCCGGCCGTAGATCAGTTCAAACGGCGAGAAGCCCATACTGGCCTGAGGTACTTCTCGATAGGCGAATAACAGCGGCGCAAGAAATCGGTCCCATGACTTCGGCTTCTCTTGGCACAACTTGCGCAACATCTGTTTCAAAGTGCCGTTGAACCTTTCGACCAAGCCATTGCATATCGGGTGGTAAGGCGTCGAGCTCAAATGTCGAATAGCAAGCAGAGCATTCACCTCTTCCATCAGGCCTGACGTGAAGCAGGATGCTTGATCACAGAGGATCTCCCGTGGAAATCCTATTCGAGAGAACATCTCCAGTAGTCCATCTGCTACTGTTGCCGAATCAATTGCGGGCAAAGCCACCGCGTCCGGGTACCGAGTGGCGAAATCCACAAGGGTAAGAATGTACCGATTACCCTTCTTTGAAATCGGCGTCAGAGGTCCAATGATATCAACGGCCACACGTTCGAATGGCGTGTCAATCAAAGGCATCCGTCCAAGAGGCGCCTTGCCTACTTTGCCTTTGGGATATGTCCTTTGGCAAGCGTCGCATGATTTTACGAATCTTCGTACCTCCTCCTGTACACCGGGCCAATAAAACGACTCCAAAACTCGGTCCTTCGTCTTCTTGATACCCTGGTGACCAGATATCGGTGATTCATGTGCCAAGTGCAACACATGGACACGCAACGCCTTTGGAACCACCGCTTGTTGAACTGATTTACCCGGAGTCAAGTGGTAAACGCGGTACAAGATTCCTTTCTCGAACATAAATGAGTGGTATGTGGCTCCTTTACCGCGGATGAGGGTGTCGACTTTCGCCCTACAAACATCCAGCGACCGGTCTTCCTCTTGTTTTTGGCGGAATGACTCCTGTGTCACCTCTAAGTTTCCAAATTTAGAGGTCGTGAGCTTCCGGCGATGTCCTTTGCTTGAAACACCAACCATGACTGTGCTATTCGTCCCGCATCCATCCTTGGATTTCTCTTCAGAATTCAATGCCTGATTAGTTTCCGACTTCAGGCTCGCTGACTCCTTCCACGTTGAGTCGGGGTCATCAGCGTCACGGGCGCCGGGAACATTTCCTACGATGACATCGTAAAGTGGCGACGTCATGCATTTGACTATCGCATTTCCGGTGAAATAGGGCGATAGAATCCGTACTTCTGCTTCCGGTACCTCGATGCAACTACCATCGGCCAATAAAATAGTGGCGGTAGTACCCGTCAACGCATCATCGGGCACGAGGGAACGTCGCACGACCAGGGTGTTGCTTCCAGTATCCCTCAAGACTGATACAGTATGTCCAAACACTTCTCCCTGTAACACCGGCAAGTTTCGTGTAGCTGTTGCGGTGCGCGTTCGGAGTGCACTAGCAACATATTCATCTTGTGATGAATCATCGGCACATCGGGGCGTCTCGGACTTCTGGTCAGTAGACACGATGCAAGATGTCATTTTCTTTGACCCGCCGTTGCTTGGGCATGCTCTTGCATCGTGGCCGGGCTTCCGACAGTGCCCACAGAAGACTCGTTGGGGTTTCGTGCGGCAATCAGATGCTCTGTGGCCGGGTCGATCACAGACGAAACATCTAAGAGGAGGCTGGGTATAAGTAAATCCTTCTTGCTCCTTGGGAATGTTGTTTGCAGACTTGGTACGAAATACCAACAAGTTTGTTTGCCGCTGGGCTTCCAAGAAGGTATCAGCTGCTTCTGCCATTTCTTTTACCGTCCTGCATTTCTTCTCCCTTAGAAAAAGTGCCAGGCGATCGTGGCAGTTATTCAGAAACTGCTCAGCTACAATGAGGTTGCGCACGGATGCAAAGTCCTCGTCCGTTTCCGACATTTCCAGCCATCTATCGAAGTAACTCTGTAATCTCGTGGCGTACTGTTTACCAGTTTCGCCGTCTTCAGGCTTGCTTTGCCGAAACTTTTCGCGATAGCCTTCGGCTGTGAAACGAAGCCTCTGGAGCAAGGCCATTTTCGTACTCTGGTAATCCATTGAGTCTTCTGGCGACAGACGACCGAAGACTTTCAATGCTTCCCCACTGAGGCATAAACTAAGCGCTGTCGCCCACTTCTCCTCAGGCCACTCTTGACCAACTGCTACGCGTTCGAACCTCTTGAGATACGCATCGAGATCGTCACGCCCCTCGTCAAACACTGGAATCAGGTTGTGAGGACTGATCAAGCACGGGCGGCTTTGACTCCTCTCAGGTTCGCGGTCCCGCGCTGTTGGCTCTCGGCTACCTTCAACCTCAGCTAGTCGAATTCGCAGTCGAAGAGTTCTCTCTTCTATCTCCAAACGTTCCTTCGCCGCCTGCCTTTCCGCGGAACGCTCTTCACGCGCTTGCACAGATTCCTCATGAGCTCGCTCTAACCGCGCGTCTACCCACGTCTTTAGCTCGGCTCCTTGAAGCCCCATGCGTTCTGCTAGCGTTATAATCTCTTGCTCCCTCATCTTCCCTACAGATTTCAACCCAGTGCAAACGGCTTCGTCCTGTCGCGCGGACGCCAATTGTGAGGGATAAGGTTCGTGTAATCACGGCAACTTAGATAATCGTTGTCGAGACTGACGAAGATATTTGCAACTTGAGTTATGAGGCTTTAATGCCACAAAAAAAACGAAAAAAAACGATAATGAAGCTTGGCGTGTTACATGGCAACAGCGAAGAACTGCCTTAGGTACGAGCCCGACACACGTTCTCGAAAGACAAGGTCTGACGCTTAGCGTAGTCCCCCACTGCACTACACAAGGTTTGAAACACTTCACCGTGTGACGTCGAAGGCAGATGAGTCGATGCGTTGCGTTGCGTCTTACGCCGACATCAGCGATGACTCAGGCATGGTCGGAGCGGAGCGTGAGGCAGAGTCGATGTGTGGCAAGCACGTCCCGGACAGCCAGTAGTAGGCCCAGGTCTGGAAAACGCCCGGGTCCGAGTACAACGGACCGGCGCCGGCTGCTGGATCACACGGTAGAAGGGAGCCAGGCTCGTGCGGACCACAGGCACAGGTAGGCTTCGGGACCACGACCCGACGAGCGCTTCGGCCTGCCACTGTTTCGTTCGGATCCTTCCTCTCGAACGCGCCGTCCTCGTCACACCGCCGTCCTCTTTCAATTGCAGAGTATCTCTCTTCCCGGGGCGTAAGTTGGCGGCTGGCATATGACACCGGGTGAAGAAGACCCTCGTGTTCCTGCATAAGCACAGCGCCTATACACCTATCAGATGCATCTGTACGTAATACGAAGGGTTTCTTTATGTCAGCAGCCTTGACTACTGGCATAGATGCTAGAGCTTGTTTGAGGGTTTCAAATGCCTCTTCTCTTTCGGTATTCCACGCTAACTTGTTCTTTTCCATCTTTCTTGTCATTTCAGTCAGTGGTTTCGCTTTCTGGGCATAGTGAGGTATGAGGTCTCGGTAATATCCCGCCAAGCCGAGAAAAGAGCGAAGCTGCTTCTTCGTTTCCGGTCTTGGGGCTTTAGCGATCTTCGCTATCGTGCTTTCTACTGGGCGGATTGTACCATCGCCGAGGTGATGCCCAAGGAAGATGACATCCATCTTAGCTGTATCTATAACCGTGTACCGCACAAAGTGAAAAGCTAATTTTTGGGGTCTCAACTATTTCAAAAAATGGGTTTTACAAGAATGATGAACGACAGCTTTAGGCTTAAGGTTTAGTATTGTCGCCATTAGGTATCTTCGAAAGAAAGACCAGTTCTCCGAAATAAGTCGAGAAACGTAGCAATTTGTTCAATCTTCAAACCAATATCTTTCGAATCAGTGTTTCTTTATCCGATAATTTACCTAAACCATAGCTGCACCTATGAACCGATAAACTACCGCTTTTTCTTCCTCGATAATCGAAATCATTGCTGAAAGGGCCCATAATTTAGAATGTGCGACCAAATATTTCAAATTGAAGGCCGTAAAAAATGCCTGTATATACCTGGCGTAAATAATGACTTTATTGAATAATGTCACCTAGGCCATCTTTGCATTGTTTGCTTGCGTATTAGGTCAAGAGGCATTCCGCAATACTTAGGATCCCTTAAAATTTAATATCACGTTTTAACACACACACACACACACACACACACACACACACACACACACACACACACACACACACACACACACACACACACACACACACACACACACACACACACACACACACACACACACACACACACACACACACACACACACACACACACACACACACACACACACACACACACACACACACACACACACACACACACACACACACACACACACACACACACACACACACACACACACACACACACACACACACACACATCTTTCTGTGTATCCATCGATTATCATGTGCGTTGTCTGTTGATTTGTACGTATGTGTGTGTTTGTGCGTCAAAACAGTTTTGACTACTCTGAAAAAGATTATTTTTTGATTTTATGGCAGTATCCGTAAAATACATTTAGTACTAGTTTATAGATATCTTACTTGTACGTAGCTACACTTCTACACCTTAGATTGCTATTTCCGCACTACCGAGTGAACGGACATATGCCAGCCAATTGACACTAAAATAAAATTCATCGTATTATTCATTATAATTACAATCTTGCAATTACTCCTAAATATAAGACGTTCTCTCATAAGAAAGAAATAGGAAAATTTCAATTTGAAGTTTAAGTCCACTGGCGTTTTCCCCGACGCGACAAGAAACGCTAAGAAATAAATACTGTTTCGCAGTTTGTTCATCATGCTAACTAGGGTCATGCTTTGTCGATGTAGTGTGATGCAGCCAAGAAACCGTGGAGTGGATACTGGTGAGAGAACTATTCGCAAGGACCGCGAGAGCGGCGCATTGTACTCTGCCGCGCACAACTTCGGTGTCTTGACCTGGAAGACTGCGACCCACCTACAAGACGCACGGCCATGTGTGTTCGCCAAGACAGAGAGCATCAACAACACAGAGGACATGGACATCCCAGCGGTGCTGTTTCGATGCACTACGAGGTACATTTACCTACATTTTACTTCAATAACACCTCAGACGACTGACGGCTTGATATACCACTTCATTTTGTATTATCGCGGGCGAAAAAGAGAGGAGAATGTACTGTGTCCAGAAATTTGGTAAAACTGACGAGACGGCATTACCCATGTATCTACAGATACCTGTTTTTCCTTGCGCAGAGGTATTGTTAAGCCTTCCTCAAGTTCATTAGCAAATTTTGAGGTTTGTTAGACCATTAGGGCTGCGTATATAATACCACTTACTCCTGCAGTTATTTTGTTTTTTTTCGCAGCAAGACCTCCTGAAGCAGAAATATTGCCTTGCTTAGAAGGAGTAGCTGGTACATTTTAAGCAGTGTGAGACGACGTTTTAAAATGAACGAATTTCGAACGAGAAAGGAATATGTAATATTTTTGCTCTAATATTGTCTGGGGCTTCTGGGCAAATGATGGTGTGCTCATGGTGCAACATGAGCAGTTGTGTAAAATATTTGGTAGGGTTTTACGCCCTGAAGTTTCGACAAGATTATGCGAGATGCCGTCGTGGTGGGCTCCGGCGATTTCGACCATTCATTGCTCTTTATTGTGCACAAAAATTCAAGTACACGGGCCACTAGCGTTTCGCTTTCATCGAAATGTGGCCACAGTGGCTGCGACTTCATTCCGCTACAAAGAGGCCAGTGGTCGATCAACATGACCAGTAAATCACCGCTGCTGGAAACGATGCACTTTTGTGAATTCACGTGATTCAGCAGATACAGTTGTAATCACAGATAAGAAGGTTAATGACTTCATCGTAAAAAAAAGTGTGGGAAAACAAAGAAAAAAGCCAACTCGACAGAACACTTGATAACAATACGAGTGTTTGTTTTGTGTGAAGAAATATAATCGGCTTGGACAGGCGAAAAAGTAAAGCAGATGAAAGAAATGAAGGCACTGCGCTGGGATCTCAACCAGTATATGCAAAGTTCTTTCATGGGGACAATCTTTTGTTGAATACTACGATGTATGGTGCGCTTACACATGGTAGCTAAACGGAAGGAAATTCGAATGCTTCATGAATCTTCCGGGTGCAGAAATGACAATTTTTACGCAACATGGGCGTCTGTTCGAAACTCGGAGAGATTCGCGCTCGTCACAGTAGGTTACATCCAGTTTGGTCTTTGTGAGTGTTCTTGTGCTCTTGGAGCCGGTCATTCACGCAGCGACCCATTTGACCAATGTAAAGGCCATGGCAAGACGTCGGTATCTCATGAATGGTTACAGTCTTGCATGGAAGAAACTTCCTAGCGTGTTGCTTCTTGCAAGTGCAAGCAGGGAGTTCTTTTTCACGCACAGTGACCCGCAGTTTGGCTGGCACCGAGAACACCAACCTTGCGTTAGCACGTGCTCCAATATACCTTCTTGATTTTTGAAAGACATCGTAAAGATAGGAATGACTGCCACTTTTGGCTTGTCATCTGTAGTACGATGTTTTTTGTTCTTGTGGTGCTCCTCAAAAAAAAGCAAGTGCATACTGTAGGGCTGTTTGAAAGTCGTATGATCATGCATATAAGTGAACATAAAGCTTGAAGAGAGGTGTGCCTATATGGTCATAAAAGTAACCTAAACCCTGCAGTGACTTTACTTAGAAAAGGCTGTCGGTTCACATTGACTTCCGTGAGGCCAATTATACGAGGATGGTAAGTGGTGGTCAGTGCGTGTTGTGTGCAACAAGAACGCAGGATGTTAGCGTTGACTTGGGATAGAAATGTACGGCCGCGGTCTGAGAGGAGTTATCACAGGGCATAGTGAAACATATATAACGTCTTGTAACAAGAAGTCAGTGACGTCGGTTGCACAGCTTGTCGGTAGAGATCGCATAATGTAGAGTGTAGCGTAATCCGTAATCGCGGCTATCCACCAGGTTCCCCAATCTTAATGTAGGAAAAAAACCAAGCAGGTCTGACCCAACACGGTAAAATGGTTCCGCGGGTATGTCGATTGGTTGAAGATGGCCAGCGGGTAGCAGCGACGATGGTTTAGCACTTTGGCATAACGCACACGTGGCAACGCATTGGCGTACCGAGTGAGCAAGGCCTGGCCAGAAGAAACGGCGCCGTACGCACTCGTACGTGCGAGGTGTCCAGCTGTAGAAGCGTCGTGAAGTTCGGTGAGGACACAGTGCCGCAAGTGCTAGTACAACAATGCGAAGGACACTCTCGTCACGTCGCAAATTGCGGCGGTATTGTACCCTCTTTTGAGGGACAAAGTGGCGGTCGAAAACGTCATTTGGCGAAGATTCCGCACGGCTGATGATGTCAAACCGCAGTGTATCCCGTTTCTGTCCTTCCCCAATGCTAAGGAAGTAGGACATTGATAAGATGGGAGTGCTCCTTGGGTGCGTCGGTGTCCTCAGGATTGCCGACAGTGTTCCGGGAGAGGTAATCAGCATCATGGTGCAAGCAGCCAGATTTGTGAGCCACCGAATAGGGAAAGCTCTTGCAGGTGCAAAGTCTAGCAACCAAGGTGCCCTGATGGATCTTTCAGAGTTCAGCAAGCAGACCGCGTGGCCCCGCCACGGTGGTCTAGTGGCTAAGGTACTCGGCTGCTGACCCGCAGGTTGCTGGTTTGGATCCGATGCATTTCCGATGGAGGCGGAATTGTTGTAGGCCCGTGTGCTCAGATTTGGGTGCATGTTAAAGAACCCCAAGTGGTCGAAATTTCCGGAGCCCTCCACTACGGCGTCTCTCATAATCGTATGGTGTTTTTGGGACGTTAAACCCAACATATCAATCAATCAATCAGTCAGCAGAGCGCGTGGTGGTCGGTAGTTACCGACTACAACGCACTCAAGCCACATGGTTTCCGTGGGAGAAGAAATGGATGTAAGCACAAGGGCCGAGATAAATCAGACATAGGCTATATTAACATGCAGAGTGGCAGAAATAGGTTAAAGTGGGAAGAAATAGAAGAGCAGGTAAGTCAAGAAGAGCTGATTCATAAGTGTATCAGCCGGAGGAGCTAGGAGGCTCAAGCCCCCCCCCCCCCCACCACCACCACTGAGAAAAGTTGGAGGGGCTGAGCGCCCCCCCCCCCCTCTTTTGACAGTAGTCAATGTCAGCTGCAAGCTGGGGAACCCAACAACTAAGGCGAAGGTTTTTTGCGACCACAGTAATCCCTCAATTATATTGTTACGAGGAAATAAAAATATTACCAGGGAATAATTTAATATAGTAATTTATTTTTAAATGTCTGCTGTAATGATTGCACTGAAATGTTCCTTGTGGTTGGGGCCATTTATGCCACACTTTCACGCCTTGTACTGTAGCATTGCAAAGCGGGCTACAGTAAAAGGCGGGAAAGCGTCTTGTACTTGCTTTCTTATGGATGGGAACGGGGAACCGTTTTATGGACCAGTCAGAGCTTATGCTGCAGGAGGAAAATTGTTTTGTTTCATTAAAAATGAAAAGCGTCATCGCTGATTTATTGAAGTCTACTAGCCGATGATTCTGACTAATCTTTACGAATGCATTAGTTCTTCCGTAGTAGAAGCGCCACAAAAGGTTTGCGCTTTAGTCTCTGATAAATCTGTTCAGCCTTGCTTATGGTAACTAGGAGTGATGACAGCAGTTTGCAAAGTAGCCAAAAATAAAACAGCAGTCTCAAGACCAGTGGGAGATAGTTATAGCACAAGGACAAAACGACGACACAGAGACAAGTAGAAAATGAACGACACGAGTGTCTCTGTGTTGTCGTTTTGTTCGTCATGCCATACCAACTAGCCCAAGCCGCCACACCAGTGGGAAGCTCAGCTACAAATGTACCTCGCAGATAGACCCACCTGACCAAGGAGAAGGTGAAAGACTGTGACCTTTTGCACGATGAAGGCCTAATTAGGTGTTGGCCTAGTCAGTTTTCATTAAACTTGACTTCTCTTTTACAGCTCTAAATACAGCTCTGACTGAAAAGGAGCACACATTCGTTGCACTGATTAGTTCTCTCTCATGGATGAGCTCACAGAGATGTACACGCACACATAAACGTTTTCCCGAGTAACTTCGCAGTTGCCACGAAAAGGGCTCTTTGCTCCTGCAAAAGATGAAATGTATGCAAAAGGTTTTACATGGCACCGCAAGGAGGGACACTTTCCTCCCTGTGAAGTAAATCACCCGTTATTTGGGGTAACGGCAGGAATTGTCGAGCCAGGTGCAAACGAGTCATCGGTGCCTACACAAGCCTGTTTTATTATTGACGTTTCTGTTGCGTGGTGTGGTGTCCGCACATGCTTACTGAATAGTCGTGCGTTGATTAAGTGATATGTCGGATTGAACCTCCCACAACCATTATATGATTATGAGAGACCCTGTAGTGGAAGGCTCCGGAAAGTTCGACCACCTGGGGTTTTTTAACGTGCACTTAACTCAGAGCACAACATGGGCCTATTACAAATATATATATATATATATATATATATATATATATATATATATATATATATATATATATATATATATTCACCCCGCATAAGCATTAATTATTTGGAATTTCGGTCGTTTGTATTTATTGTGGGATAGGCCCTGCATGCGACGGCGGCTGATCGGTGGTGTCCTATTTACAGGTACGCGCGAGTCGCGCTTAATTCGCTCAAACTGCGTCGATAAAGCAGCCTTCCAGGCGTATATAGCTGTAGCATATCCGACGTACCCCAATTAGCCAGCCTTGGGACGTTTATTTGTCACATTACACGAGTCCGAACGTTATGTCTTGTGCTGACACAGCTAAGGGAAGCGTAGCGTCCCCGTCGTGCCACGCGGTCGATCCGCAGACGATCCAAAGCTGAAGCTCAGTCGCTCAGTTAATGGTTTCCTTCACGTAGCTGCTATGTGCAACCGTTTAACGATGCCTTTTCCAATTCCCATGCGTATCATTATGTTCGCGCTTGGTCAGTGTGGTAACTAATCAGAGAGACTGTTCGTCCGCATTATCAATATGAAATCAACTGGCCGCGAGTGGTGGATGATAAGAATGGCATACAGTAATCCAAAAGTCGCCGCTCCACGATACCCTGCCTCCATCTCGGCGTTTTCGAATAATTTTTACAGCGGACAGCTGCTGGAGTTAACGTGTTAATGCAACTGTTTGGTTCCTGAATGAAGGCGGTTTTAGGCGTTGTTTCAGCGTGTTTTTCAGCATGTCCTCGCTATGCATGTGTGAGAATGACGTCGTGACGCTGCTGGGAGAGAATAGAAAGCCGCAGACAGTGCTTGATTTTTGAAAACGACGTTTCTTTGTTTTGCTGGCTCAGATCCGCTTTATATATATATATATATATATATATATATATATATATATATATATATATATATATATATATATATATATATATATATATATATATATATATCGCTTCAACTAAACTTTTTCTGCACCCCGTCAGTTTAGTTGAAGCAGGGAACGACTAGTATTTACTCTTTTGTCGTTGAAGAGAGACGTCTACAGTAATTCATGAAAACAAGACTGGCGAGGAATTTAAAAGAAGAGATAAAGAGCAGATAAATGCATAAACCCGCATTTTATTAATGCATTCATAATAAATGAAGTACACTTCTACAAGCTAGCCATGCGCAATCTTCCGGTCATTTTTATTGGCCTCAGCCCTCTGAACTCGACATTTCGGAGGCTGCCGTGGGGCTAATAGCTTGGACTACGATGCTACAGCGTCGTAGTACAAGATGAACTTTTTTATTGAAATAGAAAATAAACGAAGAAGTTTTTGTAACCGTTACTTGGCGATGGCTACCCCTTTCCACATTATTTGGACAAATAAAGAAAAAAAACAATAGCTTTATTAGGCGGACCTGTGAGTCTGAGCCTGTATGAATCACGCTGATATACTTGTAAGTACATCCGCATGATTCATGGGGTGCCAAATTTCTTGGCTCGTCTAATGCACGGACATGGTCAGATAAGATTTCATGGGTTTTGTTGTGTGTATGTCTGTGTGTCCATGCCGGTGTTTCTAAAATATAGAACTCGTTTCATAAATAAACCCCTGATGGTTTTAGCCTGGTTGCTTCAGAGCCAGAATTTGAGATAAATGGAAATAAACAAAGATTTGTGGGACCCTTGAGCTTCGTCGTGAGCAGTAGAGAGAGGCCTTATTACGCTTCAAAGCTAAGCGCAATAGAGCCTCTCAATACTGTTCACGGCAAAGCTCAAGGGTCCCCCGTTACGATTACGGTTTATTTTTCGTTTTGCCAATCAGCGAATGTGTCTTTACATATACATTGAGCACCACGCCAATCTACGCAGTGGTCCTCGTGTTTGAAACATCTGGTGTGGACTGTGAAACACCTGTGTTGCATACGTGTAACACAAGCCATGGTACGTGGATACGGGCCACAGTAATTGGTGGAAAGGGTAATTATTGGTCTATATACGTCATGAAATGGGGTACGCTCACGTGCTCTGTTTCACTTTTGGTCGAAATCAAGTTCGCACGATAAAGAGGGCGCCAAGACGCAGACGGCAAAAAAGATTGAGAAAGCCCGATTACTTTTCGCTCGCTAAGATATATTTATTTTTTATAAAACATATTGCATACGCTTTTGTTTGCACTCCTCTTGCCGTTACAAACGAAATAACTAACCTCTTATTCTTCCAGGGAGCCGAGGCGAAATCCGGCATGCACGATGGCGGCGCATGTGCAGAACACCGCATGCGGAAGGCATGTCGTGCAGCACTGCTCTGAGGCTGACCTCTACACCGGCGGAGGTACTGCGGCTGACCAGAGCCAAAATGTTTACTGACTGTAGTTAGGGCACGTACCTCTGAATGGTGATATGTGAATGCTGCTCTCTCGCCCATTGTCGTGGTTGGCGCCATGTGCTTCAACACCATCGGCTGCGCGGTCACTTCATCAACTGGGGGCAAGAGGATTTTGGCCTTTGATTTGTCAAAGGGCGCCTCATCAAGGCCTAAATAGACTCAGGAAGTACTTGGAGTGCGCTACGAGCTCGAATATAAGCTATAATTTACGAGAAGATCATGCCCTCTAACGGGAACTTCGCACCAATATAACTGCAGCGACGTTGTTTCGTTCTTTTATGTATTAATTTAGATGATTTGTTTCGATATAAAATTTGTGTGATTGAATAAAAGCTGTTTAGAGTTGAAATTTGTTACCCTACTTGCATACTCACTTTTATCGTGTGATGGTGAGGCACTAACTGAAGCCTCTGCTTTACTTTTCGTTCGATTGAAACTCGGCTGGTTGGTGTGGTTTAATTCTCTAAGAGACACAATACTGTAAGATATTTTTTGCATATTAGCAGACAATCATGTCATAGATTTAGAAGGCTGCTGCTGGGTCCCACATTTTTTAACCGATAAAATTGAATTGCATTGTCACGTTGGTGCCATAGAGCCAGCATACGAATTTTCGGAAAAATTCCTTGAGCGATCGTTTCATAAATACAAAAAACGTGTTTTTGAATTTCTGACCTTACAGTCAAAGATTTCAGCGTGAAAATAAGGCCAACCAAAATGTTCCATACAATTCTCAATCCTGTTTTTTTTAAGTTTATTGAACCGCATGACATGTGCATACGTGCACACCATACAGTTTGGTTTAAATAAAAAGATCACAGCATATCCGATGGAGCGAAACATGATGAGTATGGAGAAGCAGCCTCTCCGTCCGTTGTACTTGCTTCCGCGCGTGCGTCCGTTTGTGCGTGAGTGAGTCCATCCGTCCGTCCATCTGCTAGACTGGGCGTCCGTCCGTGCATCCGTCTGTGCGCCCATCTAGTGAACACTTCAAGTACAGCCATCTCACAGCGGGTATGTGCGAAGCGTGTCGCGCCGACAGACAGTGGACATTGCTCGACACTGAGAAGCTTCCCCCCTGAAATGCTGCATTGGACAACTTGACTGGCCCTTCCCTTCAGAAATGACGAAATTAGGAATTTCGGGTTCTAAAACGACAGTTCTAAAACAAAAAAAAACAGCAACAAGAACACAGATGTCTTGTCTACAACATTATATACGTATAAAAATCTCAGTATTGCTCAAATTGAAGAATCAGTTCTTTTTTAATTTGTTATATGCGTTAGAATAAGCACCGAAATTTCGTAGGTCATCGGTAATCTTTCTAATATAAGATCTTCATTATTCTATAACTGCATACTATTTTATATAAACACCTAATTCTTGGCCGATCTTCCACAGCCAGTATGTTCCACGGACAACATGTGAACAAGAACAAGATGTGGCTCGTGACAGTCAAGAATAAGATTAAAACTCAGTAAAAAAACAGAAAAATACAGCAAAGCAAAGCATAAATAAATAACACTAGCTAACCAACAAAAAATGACTCAACATTCAAAAACAATAAACAATGTGGAAACATATATAGGTGGCTACACTTAAAAACGCTTCCCTGGTTGGTAACGGCAAAAGGTTAGAAGCTGTACTAGCTGCTGACTAGAAAAAGTATGCCGCAAAAGTGTTAAAGTACTTGAACTGGTATAGCGCTATACAGCAAAGAAATATTGGCTGAGCAGTACGAAAGAATATATTTTGATCATTCCCTTTGGTATATAGGCACACCGGACGCGTGTTCTTCTTGGTTTAATAGACTCCACATGCAGTTTTGAAAAAATATTTTATACGCGACCTCTAAGCAGAGGTCTTGGCGCACCGTTAGTGAAAAGAAAAGCATGTCAATGTTTTAATTGATTTATTCATTTACGTTTTTAACTTGTAGCAGCCAACCACGCTGGATTGGCCAATAAAGGAGCGGTGCCTTGCTAATAAAAGAATTTTCTATTTTATTAGCAAGGCACCCCCCCCCCTTTTTTTTCAAAGTCAAACTGCCACTGGATCCATGGCCAATACCCTGCAGTGTTGTGGGTTGAGCCCAATTGGGTTCAACAAACAAACTAACCAAGCAATCTCTAAGTGTGGGTATGTGCCAAATTTTGTAAGGCTCATCTAAACAAACAAATAGAACCTTGCTCTCACGAGCTTCTACGAGCGGCTCGTGCGGCTGTGGCTTTGGAACGCGTTTCCTGTCTTGGTGGAAGAAAACGGTGTTGGTCTATTACCAGAAATGGGCCTCAGTCCACCAAGCGACAGCGCAACTCGCTACCTCCTTGGTGGCAGCGGGTGCTCTTGCTTGACAGAGTCGCCAACTTACAAGAATCATCTCCCTATGTCGTTGGACGTGCAATCAGCGTTCACTGAAGTCGAGGCTGCTGCATGTCTGGTGACTCTGCCGTTCAGGATGACCACCCAGACAGCCGGGTCCATGTGGCGAAATGCTGGAACAGCGCCGGTGCACCTTGTTGCCACGGCGGGGACGAACCCTGGACGAGACTGTTCCTGAGAGCTGAGTCCGACCGGCACCTCGACACTAGCGTCATGCAAGCAGCACTGACCGTCAAGGTAACCCACCACGAAGCAGCGTTCGTGTCAAGTTACAGTGGATGGCTGCACGTAAACAGGTACACGTCATCTTTCTATACTACATGTTATAACGCTGCAGCAACAAGTTAAGGAAATGAGCGAATTACTTTATTTGCAACTGAATATATATTCTACTCTTTCTGTCTCCGGATAGAATCATATTTACCTGTAATTATTTAACGAACCCCTACGAATCAGAAAGCTCATAACTGAACATGTATCGCAAGCCGACGAGTTAACGTAAATAGCAAAGTTCGATGCTTGTATCTTGTATTTGTGCTATGAATGCTGTACAATGTAACGCAGGAATTTGAGGCGATCATTTATTCCATCTTAGCTGTAGCTATAACCGTGAACCGCACTAAGTGAAAAGCTAACTTTTGGGGTCTCAGCAATTTCAATAAATGGGTTTTACAATAACAATTGATGACTGCTCAAAGCTTATGGTTCAGTATCCTTGCCATAAAGTATCTACGAAAGAAATAGCATTTCCCCGAAATCAGTACAAAAACTTAGCAATGTGTGCATTCTTCAAACTATTTCTTTCGAATCAGTGTTTCTTTATCTGATAACTTACTTAGAACATAGCTGCAGCAATGAACTGATGAACTGCTGGTTCATTCTAAAAACGGCGGAAGGTCTCGCAGGAGTAAAACTGCCAAGTTACCGTTCAAAGTGTTATTCTACCCTCGCAAAACATCATCAACATCATCATCAGCCTGACTACGTCCACTGCAGGACAAAGGCCTCTCCCATGTTCCGCCAGTTAACCCGGTCCTGTGCTTGCTGTTGCCAATTTATACCCGCAAACTTCTTAATCTCAAATGCCCACCTAACCTTCTGTCTCTCCCTAACCCGCTTTCCTTCTCTGGGAATCCAGTTAGTTACCCTTAATTACCAGCGGTTATCCTGTCTACGCGCTACATGCCCGGCCCATGTCCATTTCCTCTTCTTTATTTCAACTATGATATCCTTAACCCCCGTTTGTCCCCTAATCCACTCTGCTCTCTTCTTGTCTCTTAAGGTTACACCTACCATTTTTCTTTCCATTGCTCGCTGTGTCGTCCTCAATTTAAGCTGAACCCTCTTTGTAAGTCTCCAGGTTTCTGCTCCGTAGCTAAATACCGGCAAGATACAGCTGTTATATACCTTCCTCTTGAGGGATAGTGGCAATCTACCTGTCATAATTTGAGAGTTCTTGCCGAATGTGCTCCACCCCATTCTTATTCTTCTAGTTACTTCAATATCGTGGTTAGGCTCAGCGGTTATTACCTGCCCTAAGTAGACATAGTCTTTTACAACTTCAAGTGCACTATTACCTATCTCGAAGGGCTGCTCGTTTCCTTTCGAAAAACATCACACAGGGTGAGATTCATTTTCACTCTGTATGAAACGAGAGATTGAAACAGCTTTCTACTCTTCCTCTCTTTGAAAGAGTAAAATTCCCACAAACTTTTCAGGCATACGAGAGTATAACTCGATTATACTCTTGTCCTAGATTACTCTTAAATGCGTCGGCACACCGCGAGTGATTAGCGCTACTTAATAACCACACACATATAGAGTAAAACGAACTAAATTTGTTTGTTGAGGCGACAGAGAGGATTATTAAAAAAACATAGTTTCCAGCGCGCCAGTGAATTTTAGCGCACTACAAGTCACTTGTAACTCCTAATATCTACATTTTCAGCTATGGATCTGTGTTGGGAAACAAGCTAATACTAGCTCATTTAATTGGTCATGGTCTAAACTCAACTAAAACGTCTATACCAAATACTTATATTAATATTTATGTTTATCACTGCGACCATCGCACACGGGCGATGGTGCCGTAAGCCTAACGTACGATACGGCTACAGTAAAGTATTATGGCTTTAGTCATAGAAGATGAACAAGAATGACCATAAGTATGTCCAAGGGGGTGAAAAATAAAAACTAAATTGCTTAGTGTACACTCCAGAATCGCGATGTTTCGCATGCAAAAATTACTAACCACTTAGCGAGTCTGTGCAATCGACGTTCATATAATTGGTTGCGCTAATCTTCCTGTTTCTACGGTGAGAACTTATCGGATAGACGTTTTAATCTCACGAAGCACAAAACATACACAGTTAACACATTAGCTGCAGTTCGGCTGGTATTGAGAAGCGCGGAGACACTCAAATCTATGCGTCCAAACAAAAAATGCTAACATGTCACCAACATTTCTTATGACATAAAGAAATTTACGCTCATTTGCCGTCCGTCAAGTGGTGTAGTAGTTAGCGTGGTGGGCTAGCAATCTGTAGTACGGCTATAGGTTTAGGGTTCAAATCTCAGTTGGTGTTTATTTTTCACCTTATTTTTTTTCTTCTTTTTCGTCATAGTGTTCGTATTTAGCTATCCATACAATCCGAGCGCGCCGAGATCTGCCAAAAACAAATTAAAAGCCCAACTTCGGCTCGATTTCTACTATTGTCTTCGTAAGATGTACTGTCATTCTCTTCGGTGAGGTCATGCTATTCTTCTTCAAGCAGCGTTATGCTACTCTGTTGAGTTGGAGTGCTTTGACTCGTTCGGAGGAATCACTGTACTCTGCCTCAACAAGAATTGATGTACTCTGGAAAAGAGAGTTAAATATGGGACGAGAAAATACTCTCCCAAAAAGAAATCCCAGCACCCTCTTAGTCTTTAGAGTGTTTTTCTTCCTCAATAATCGAAATCATTAGC